GCTGACAGGACCACGATGAGAACCTAGACGACGAGCCGGACGACGCGATCCTCGGCGACGAGCTGCCTCCAGTCCTCCTTCTCCTCCTCTTGCCACTGACCTCACTCACGCTTAACCATAACCAGGGCATCACACACCCACCCTGCACGCACTCTTATCACCGTTGGGACCGTCGTAGCTGTGCTGTATGGGGGACCGCCACCCGCGACAAGTAATTCAAATCGACACCCCAAGGATTCTCGATCGTCGGACGATCGAACCGACCGGCACCGATTTTCGACACACCGGGAGAACCGATTCTTAACGACAGAGTTATCCTTCCGATACCCTATCTCCTAGGGCTAAAGTCGTTAAAGACACCCTGTATCAATGGGTACTAAGAACCCGGGTTCCTTTCGCGAACATCCACCGAACGACACCTGGGTCACACGATTCCTCCGATCCGATTTCCCTACATGCCAACTACCGTGTCGCGGGGATGGGGACGGGGAGGGAAGGATTTATCACCGTAGCTAAGTGTCACCCGGCGGTCGATCGTTCACCAATCGCGTTTACCCACATCCGACGCGTGCACGCGACGAGAAAAACTTTGTCTGACGGTAGGAGACCCTTGTTTCGAGCGGGTTGTGCGTGTCACCGGCGATCGGACCTGACTCACTTGACTGAACTTCGGGTGTATTGCGGGCACACGGTCCGTCCGTCCGGAAGCTCTCTCCGTTGGCGCACGTTTTCCGGACGAGCCGGTGGTGGGAAATGCCAGTGACGACGGGTTTCGGTGGGTACCCCTGGCGCGTCGTCCGTTCGGCCTGCTCCGGCGAGGTCCAGGGTGCCCCTCTTCCTGCCCCCACCAACCGTTGGCCAACGGCCGGCCTGGCGCGCCGCTAGCAGCCAGGCTGCTGGCCCCCGTGGGGCTCTCACGGCCTCCGGACGAGCGTGGTGGTGGACGATCCTACTCCCGCCGCGCGGGCCCTCCTCAGTACGCGCGCCGCTGACGTCACCGGGCCCGTCGCGACTCCATTGGTCGGGGGCGGGGCGTGCGATGGGTGAACGAGGACAGGTGCACGAGGTGGGACGCGGACGGAGCGCCGGGAAGAAAGAGAGAGGACGACCAGATGGAGAGAGGATGAATACCTTTTAGCTTTCTCCTCGTTCGATTCGGTTTTGATCAACCTCCCCGGCTCTGATTCCCCCTCCTTCCCCTGACGAATCTTTCCGTCTCTCATCGGCTTCTTTGCCCGTCTACCGTCCTCCTCCTTTTACGTCCAACGCGATCCCCCTTGGCTCGCTCGCTCTTTCTCTTCTCTGGCGATCGCTTTCTCTGTCGAACACCGCGGACCGATCGTTCGTCTTCGTCGTTTTCGTTGTCGTCGTTATAACGTTTTACCTTGTTACTGTTCGTCCTCCTCTACCGCGAACGAGCGTCTCCGTTCAACTTCCCGGCTCCTTACGCCAAGTGCCCGGTGCCCGCGGTTGCAAGAAGATTCTCAATGACCGTCTACCCCCAAGCCGCGCTCACGTACCCTAGGCAGAGCCGCGGAGGCGTGGGGTGAGCTGACCTTGACTTCGGCAGCCGTCAAGTTTCGCTCTTCTTTACGATTTTCCTTTTTCTTCGCTTGCTCCGTCTCGCTACTCTTCGCGGATTACCACTTTTATCGCATTCCTGCGCCGCGTCAGTGGTCCCGCGGATTTTATTAAATACTACAATGTACACCGGGTTTCCTGCGGTACCCCGCGGAATCGCGTTCCCTTCTTTTACTCGTGTTCACTGGATGTTGTAGTTGAACCGCTTCCGAAAGCGCCGCTTTACTCCGAAAACCGTCCACCGCGATCGCACCGAATATCGGTTCACGTGTTACTCAGTTTAAAGACTTTTAGCTTTTGGTATTCATATAGAAGACATCTTAAGAAAACGAAATATTAATTCGTGATATTTATTTATTAGAGACTCAAAACAAGCTGTGTATTCCAATAAAACCAACTGTCCATCATGTAACATTCATAATCAAACAATTATATAGCGCCCCCAAATTATTTCAAAGCCTTCAACCCCTTGTCCTACAACTTCCCTACAACATCTACTTACAAATTCACTATATAAAAGAAAGAACTCTCATTGCAAACCTACATTCACTACAAAACCTAACTAAAAACTAAAGTTCCATTCTAAAACTCGAAACAATCGACTAATATTTACGTTTGCTAAACACCGTCTGAAATTCTTATCACCATACTACCGTCTCAATAAGTACATTCATTTCGAATTATGTTCGTCTCGATGATGCGCCGTTCTCTATGAGAAAAGAACGATCCGCGGCGTACACAGAACTTAACCCGATCGACGCACTGCGTTTTGAGAAGCCACCGTTCTCGATCGTTTTTTATAAGTAGCGGTACAACGTTTATCGATCCGCGGCCGGCCCGATTACCGCGACACACGGCGCTTCGATCCCTGACGATAAACGTCGCGATGCCGATCGATAAATCGGGAATTTTGTGCATGGAATCGCGCGACACGGACGCCGGCACACGATGAAACGTCACCAGTCACATCTACGGGCCAACTGATATGAAAGTCCATCCCGCCGTTGGAACAGGGCCGAGGGGGGTAGGGGAAGAGGCGAAGACCGCTTGCCTTCCGAACTGTTCGGTTTTACTGATAATAAACATCTTTTGTAGATGCCCGGCCCGCCCCCACTATCGCCGGCCACGGCCAGGCTATCATTGACACATCCCGATTTACGGTGTAAACAATATCCGGCCTTGAAATTCCGCGAGCCTACCGAATTACGCGCGCGCGCGCAAGAAAAAATGAGAAATTCGCGTTTCTGATGGACGGAGATAGGGGCGTTTGAGGTGTTCGCGGAATATGTAAATATACAGACTGGTTGAATTAACACTAGTTCTACCGTACTAGGCAAAGTAACTGGTTTCGGTTTTTCTATTTCGCAATTATTGATATCGTCGAAGGATTGAATATTTGAACTGATTTTGAAAATAAATGGTTTTATGTGGATACTATGATAAATACCTGAAGAAATTGAAAATAGTGTGTTGTTACAGCTTTTATAGGTATTACATGTCAATCTTATTAACACTGAAACTACTGAGCAATCTACTATCAAATAGTGACTTATTTCCAACTTTTTATAAAAATTAGAATAATACGTTTCTTAAGATTCGAAGGGTCTTCTAATTTTTGTATCTGTGCAGATACACGAATTTAATTGAAAATCTTTCGCAAAAATGCCTTCATAATTTAAATACATCAGAAAATCAAATGAAAAGAAAACGGAATGTTTTTGAATAAAGCATGCAACGCATAGTTCAATAAAAATTAATTTAACGTAGCCAAATATTGCTTTTCAATTTCATTTAAAAATGCGATACTTTTTGACCAAACTGATACATTCTATTCAAATTTAATACTATATATTATTTCACCAAATTAATCCCAGCAAGTCTGTGAATGCATCAATTGATTATAAGTAAAGTATTTTATTTGTAAATAATAACTATTTTCTTGAAACGACTTTTTCCGCTGATTTTGGTTTCAGTAACAACCTTCCGTGGAAAGAAACAAATGTTTTAGGTTATTATTAGATGAAAAGAAGTATAATAGACGTAGAGTTCTAAATTAAATACGATAGCATTGGAAAATTAATTTTGACTATAACTTTATTAGAAAGAGTAAAAACGTTTATGTAGAAAGAGTAAATTGGTTCAAATTTTTTAAATTGAATGTTATACTCAAACATAGTAAAAACTTTCAAAATATCAATATATAAAAATAAATAAAACAAAGTTTTTACTATGTTTGAGTATATACACTTCATAAACTATATAACTTTTCACTTTATGTACGAATTCGCAGAATAAGATGTCGCTTCGACTAACGGAGCCATCTTTAAGTCTAAGTCTCCATTTCTCAGTTACAACGAAGGAAACTATACCGTTTCTTCAGGCATGAAAAAGATAATGTTATAAAGTAAATTCTAAATATAAATAATCTGTGAAACAAAAATGTACTATGAAGAAGAATTTCTGTCTTAACGAATGTACATTCGTAAAATAGGTAAAACCTTCTTTTGCAACCATAATTTCGCGCAATAAAGTGTTTGCCTTTAAAGTTAACAAAATACTGTTCCCTAACTTTGATGTTACAGTCAGTTTTGTAATATTCTTTGCTTATTAATGGATCATAAAAGAAAATTTATCTTAATACCTTCTTCTGCAATAAAACAATTCTACATAGAAAATACAGTGTACGTACGCTTTATAATCTGTACGACATAGTATTCGATTTTAATGTTTTACCTTCGCAAAATGATAATATAAATGGTTAAAGTTTAATTGGTGATTACATACTAAATATAGATAAAGTAGTCCGCTTTTTATTATAATTTTAAACATATTACAATGATAACTTTGAATAAGAAAAGATAATAAAAATGTTTAAAATCCAAAAAATAGAATTAAAAGAAATAATATTGGAAAAGTGTAGATAATATAACGTTTAATTTTCTAAAGAATACTAAAATTAAGAACCTGTTGAAACGCTATGAATTTATAATATATGAATATTAAGCACGGCGACTGAATACATTTATTTAAGAATCGTTTCCTGTTAAGAACAAACTAAAAATAAAACAGAACTAATAAAGCACGTTAAATAGTTTCGTCTATTTCATTATTCAATCGTAATGTATAATTTTAAATACATAAAAGATGAAAAAAAGGCTACTGAAACTAATTTATCATTTCCGATTCGTCCGTAATGAAAACCAATTAAGTTAAAAATCTTTTTTCACCCGGCTCAGGTACATTATTATGCAACCTACATATTTATTCGTACTATTTTAATTCCTCCACTCATATTACAGATAATTGCGGTTTCACAAAAACATTTTACGATTATTATCGTAATACGAGAGCGGCTTAACCGATACGTCATTGCGACAGCCTCGTAACACGTTGGTCTCACCCATTCTACGAACTACGTGAAATGGTTTAAACCTCTTCCTTATGATATCGAATCACACACGCAACTTTCAATAATATTTCATAAACATGATCATTCCTCAAGTTCACATTAATTATTATAGACGTTAATCCATTTTTATAAATGCTAAATTTTTACAAGTCAATCACAAGACGTTGGGTTAACCGTTAGTAATAGCAATATATTATTCAAAAACAAAGAGAAACGTCAAACTTCAAATTTTCTGCTCAACTAACATTCAATTTCTAAAGAGTAAAATATAGTGAAGAGGTAAGCGAGCAGAAAAATTGTAGAGTAACCTGCACAAATTTTACCTACACAATTAAGAACATTGTTGTATTTTTAAAAAGAAGAAAAAGATTGTTACGCTCCGAATCTTTTGTTGATTCGATATTCAATTTTAGAAGCGTGAAGGGTATCAAGGTTTAAGCGAGCAGAAAAATCACCAGTTAACCTGCACGATGATCGTCTAGATAAATATTATCGAGAAGAAGGAAAACATCATATTTCAAATTTCCAGTTCAATCAATATTCATCTTCAAAAGTGTGAAAAGCGCTAAAGGGTTAACATTAACTGTACCGGAAATTTTGCTACTGTAACCTGTGAAATAAATGGCTACAAAGTGAAGGTAGACAAGTTAGATGAGAAATTTTTCATAGGAAAAACAAAACCAAAAGGAGAGATAAAATTAAAAAACTGATTAATCGGACAATAAAGGTATCGATATAATATTAAATAAATTAAAGAAACGGAGAATTTTAAATCCGGTCATTTAATTAGTGTTAACACTAGAATTACCAAACAGGTCAAACTGACCCATTTCTGATTTCTTCTGTTCGCAATGATTAAGAAGTCAACGCGATTCTGTGAGAGATTATCAACGAAATTAGTTCAGCAATAATCAAATACAAATGTAAATTAATAGAAATCTGAATAGATGAAGTCCAAGAGTTTCTGTAGGAAACTTTTAAAAAGTCAATTTAGCTCGGTAGTCTCAATGTTAAGCGAGCAGAAAAATCACAGATTGACCGCGGTGGTCGTCTAGATAAAAAACGGTGTTCACCAAAGAGTACCCTAGCCGACAACTCGGGCAAGCGTTCCGGAATGGAGCAGGGAGTGTCGGTTTCGTGGCGACACGAGGTCCACGAGGCGACGCGAGTCGACGCGATGCGGCGTGGCTCGGCGTGGCTCGGCGTGGCACGGCGCGGCGACCCGTGGCACACGGATCGAGTAAAAGACCGTGGCCGCGTCTCGCCGAGGCGTAAGATTCGGCGTGGACGGCGCGGTTCCGCGCAGAAAAACAATGGTTACATTATGGTCCATGCGTAGTACGGAAAAAGGGGGAGAGTTACGGACCAATGGCGAGGTATAAACGTCGCTCGTTAACGATGCCGATGCCAGAATCGCTGAAACAGGCCGGGGGGCAATAAAAGATAACGAGTATTCGCGAGCTGTAAACATCCGCGGAACGCTACTCCGGAACATTTCATAATCCTGTTACGAGGCACTTTGACTTTTGTGGCAGCTGCGGTGGCGCGGAGCGGAAATAAAATTCCGCTATCGAGGTGCAAGTAATAGCGCGGCGTTGCCATCCCGTGTAACACCGTCTCGCGCGTCCACGGCGAACGCTTTGAACAAGAGAGACCTTTCGCTTATCGATCACCGTCCAACCCCTCACCCCCTGCTGCTGCTTTTGTTCTTGATTGGTGATGTGTGCCATTTTGGAGGTAGCTCGAAGAGAAAGATTTGAATAAAGTTTGGATTGATTTATATTGAATTTTGATAGATTGATAGTGCCGTCTGTTTTGCTAGTAGGCTACCCTACTGTTGGTTTCATTTTTGATTGGTGGTGTGTGCCATTTTGGAAGTAGCTCGAAGAGGAAGATTTGGATAAAATTCTTTGTGAAGATTTCTTTGTGTTAAATTTTTATAGTTTGATAGTATCCTTTGTTTTGATAGTAGTCTACAATAGTTGTGTTGCCAATGTGTTGTTTTGCTCATTATGAAGTTAAAGATTCCGCAAGTTGAGAAAGTGATAGTCGACGAAATATTAGCACAGATAGGGCAATATCCAATAATAGAAATTATTCTTTTTAAATTCATGAATGGAATGGAAGCTTATATTTGAAAGGAATTATTTAGTTTGTATGTCTTAGAGTTTTCGTTGGATCAATATGCGCTCGTTTAAAAACAATTTCTTGTCCTAATCGTACTATCAGCTACTCCATTAACAAGTAATAGTACTTCCTGCTGAAGTTGTCAGTAAAAATATGTTAAGGTCTGTACTTTCTTTATATTCATCTGATTATTCGAAGAATAAATACTTTTCAAACAGAAACATCTTGAGAATTGTCTTTTTCTTTAATTGGTACCCCAAAACACCACCTAACCCCCCGCACAACGAATATCAGTTCTGCAAACGCTGCATTTATTGCAAATATATCAAGAGACATTGCACCAAGAAACATTGCAAACTACACACACACACATACAATAAAGTAAAATCCACTGTTCCTTAAATATACTAAACAAACGATCCAAAGTTCAACCCAACAGATATCATCTCCAATTACGAATCCACAAGGAAACCCAAAAATATCCGTAAATTCGTAAACTAGAAAACATCAACCCCAACCTCAGTCAACTTCCACCAACAAACCGCGTCCCATTACAATCCCTCCCATCGACGATCAGAAGGCGCCAAGAACACAGAAACCCGTCGCGAATTCTCGGCCGCGTTGCGATCGCCAAAAAATCCACCTCGACCGCGTACGTGCAATCAAGCGGCCACCATTGCGTCCGGGAGTAGCTCACCTCCGGGTGTCCCTTCTTCAAAGTAACACGATTCACGGTGGAAGCTGGTCTCGCGTCGGCTCCGGGTTCCCCGGCGTCGAAGAAGAAGAAGGCAGCTATCTAGCTAACGCCGCGCCCGGTGTCCCGGGGGATAGAGGGTCCGGGACCGTCGCGCCGCTCGCTCGCTCACTCGCGCGCGCGCGCGCGCTTGCGGAGGGCCCCTCTCCGCGTAATGGACGGCTCAAATATTTATCATCGGCCGCGTAATTTAA